GATATTGATGCCTGGTCCCTGATGGGAAACCTTCATCTGGCCAAAAATGAATGGGGTCCTGGACAAAAGAAATTTGAACGTATCTTGAAGGTCTGTGTCAAGAGGACTGTTTCTGTCTGATAGTAGATGTAAAGTGATTGTACATTACTTTATATATGTGTTAATGAAAAATGTGGATAATTCAGTTGCTGTATTTGGGGCAGTAAAGATACAAAGATGACAATTTTTAAGCATTATTGGTGTATATTAACATTATCACAAGTGACATGATATACTGTATTACAGAATCCCAGCACCACAAATGACTCCTATTCCCTCATTGCCTTGGGAAATGTATGGCTAACAACACTACACCAGCCGAACCGTGACAAAGAAAAGGAGCAGAAGCACCAGGACCGAGCCCTTGCCATGTACAAAACTGTCCTTCGTTCTGACCCAAGAAGCATCTGGGCTGCTAATGGCATTGGTAAGTATTTTTTTTTTTTTTTTGGATCTAGAGATGGGTGTAATCAGTTGACTGTATAGGGGAGAGAATTTTTATTAACTCCATAAAGATTTCAAGTCTAACAGTAAAGGAGGAATGGTATTAATAAGTTTTTAAAAAGACTTTTAAAAGTAAAGTCATCTTTTATTTGATGTCAGTAAACAGAAGGCATACAGTGTGATGGCTCACCATTAGCATTATCAGGTTTATTTTCTTTTCCAGCACCCCATTAACAAGTTTATTTTCTTTTGCAGGTGCTGTATTGGCTCACAAAGGTTACATAAATGAGGCACGTGATATATTTGCCCAGGTGCGAGAGGCAACAGCTGATTTCAGTGACGTTTGGATGAATATTGCCCACATCTATGTAGAGCAGAAACAATACATCAATGCTATACAGATGGTAAGGATAATAGCTTTTTGTTTTAGGGTCATTTTTTTGTTTGTTTGTAACACATAGGTTTACTTTGGATTTATAAGTATGTATTTGTGATTAATTCAGTGTTTAGTTTTTCATTAGTTTTGATATAATATTAGTAATTTTATTATATTCTTTCAGTATGAAAATTGCCAGAAAAAGTTCTTCAAATATCCAAATGTAGAAGTTCTTGGGTATCTTGCTCGAGCATACTTCAAGGCAGTAAAGTTGAAGGAGGCAAAGTATACACTTCTCAAGGTAATTATTATTGTTATCTGTATTATTATTATTTCTATTATTATTATTATTATTATTATTATTATTATTATTATTATAATTATTATTATTATTATTATTATTATTACTATTACTATTACTATTACTATTACTATTACTATTATTACTATTACTATTACTTATTACTATTTTATTATTGATTTTTTAGGGAATATATTTTAATATCAAATAAGAAAATATAAAGTTCTTAAAAGGATTTATAGAAGCTAGTGATATGCAGTGACACATACTACTTTGAAAAATGTTTTTTATTTACTGAATATTCTCAGAGGATACAACAGAAAAAAAATATATTGGAATATCTACTTGAAATTCCCATTTATGTAAATGTCCATTTATGAGGAAAAACTTGATAAATGAATTTTTTTAGGCTCGTCATGTTGCTCCACATGATACTGTCATCCTTTACAACTTGGCACTGGTGTTGCAACGACTAGCCACACAAGTGCTTCGTGATGAAAAATCCAACCTGAAAACTGTGTTAGCAGCTGTACATGAGCTGACCTTAGCTCAGAAGTGAGTATTGGATGTTCTTGGATTAAGATATGTTTAAATACAGTTTTTTGGTATGTGTTATTCTGAGTAACGATTTTTTAAACAACATTTTATGCGAATAATTCCAAATATTATTTATATTTCCTTTTGTTCAGGTACTTCCAACATCTCAGTGTTAATGGAGATCGTCTGAAATATGACTTGGGGGCTGCAGCTGCAGAAGCCAGCCAGTGCCGTGACTTGCTGTCTCAGGCTCAGTACCATGTGGCTCGTGCCCGCAGGCAGGATGATGAAGAAAAGGCACTCAGGCGTAAGCAGGATGAAGAAAGGCAAGCTCTCAAGCAGAAGGTTGTGGAGGAGAGACAGAAGATGGAAGAGAGGAGGAGGCTGATGATCGAAGAGAGGGTCAGTATATGGTTTCCTCCTTTTCAGTGTTTCTGTTTCTTTTATTTCAGATTAATTTTGACAGTTAGATCTAACTCAAACCTTGTTATTCTTGTATTTTGGAAGTTTCAAAGCTTTTTTTTTTATATAAGATTACATATATTTCTAAATTATAGGCAAATTAGAAAATAGTGCTGAAAGGCCTTGTGTCTTTGTGGTAACTCTGAGCCCACATAAAAGATAGGTCAATTGAGTGTGATAAAGCCCCTTATCAGTTTCAGTTTATCTTTGTATTGTCAAAGTGGTCAAAGTTCAATTATTTTGAAATCCCCCCACCCCATTTTTTGACATGTTAAGATTGTTAGAAGAACAAGCAATTTTTTGTATGCAACATTACCTCCTCTGCAATATTATGAGGAAGAAAAGAAATCCTCTCAAATCTATTCTGGTGAAAATTTTGATCCATAAAATTACCAGAATTAACTATTATGAAAATTGTGAAGATTCGCCTGTTAAGATTTCCATGATCATATTATTCTATACCTCTTTTATACTGACTTTCTGTTAAATGGTGCATTTAAATTTGCTAAAGCTGCAACTGATATTACAGATGAAAGCTCGAGAACAGTACAAGGAGAAGATGAAGAATGCTGTCATCATAAACGAACCAGTAGAGCCCTCAAGGAAAGGAGGAAGGGGCAGGAAGAGAGACGTGGAAATCCTCTCAGACGGATCAGGTGGAGGAAGTGGACCTGAAGGGGAGAGCCGGCCTAAGAAGGGCAGGGGAAGGAAGAAGAAGGAACCAGGGTAAGATCCTTTTGACTTTAGTTTTGGCTTTGAACTGCTTTTGTTTTATACTTCTGGGAAGTGTATTAAAGGAGTGAATAAAGGCAGTAATAATGGTTTTTCTCTATATTTGTCTTCCAGGGAAAGGAAGAAACGAGGTAGGAAAAGCAAACAGGGAAGTGATGATGACGATGATGACCAGCCCCGAGGCCGCAAGAGAGGGAAGGGAGGAGCCAAGGGCAGAAAGAAGGCCTCAGAGGACGGTCTTTCAGCCAAACAGAAGGGACGTATTGTGTCCAAGGCAACCATTTCAGACTCATCAGATGACTCAGACAATGAGCGCCTCAAAATTGCCAGTGGATCGGATAGTGAAGGTGGAAAGAGCAAACGTCGTAGGGTCATGTCAAATTCAGATTCCTCAAGGTCTCGCTCCAGGTCAAGATCTGGCTCAAGGAAGTCCTCACGATCAAGGTCTCGCTCGAGGTCTGGCTCAAGGTCACGTTCAGGGTCACGCTCAAGGTCACGTTCAAGATCACGTTCAAGATCAAAGTCTGGCTCCCGTTCCAGGAGTCGCAGCGGATCCAGGAGAAGTGGCTCAGGATCCCGATCCAGGTCACGCAGTCGCTCTCGCTCTGGCAGTAGATCCCAGGGTAGGTCAAGGTCTGGCTCCCGTCGCAGCAAATCACGGTCAAGGTCAAGATCAGGATCAAGGTCAAAGTCAAGGTCACGTTCTAGATCTAGATCTGGCTCACCTCGCTCAAGGTCTGGCTCTCGTTCACCAGCTAGATCAGGGTCAGGGTCTCCCCGATCCAGGTCAGGGTCGCGGTCCCCTGCTAAATCCGGGTCAGAGGTTGGCAGGGGGAGTGACAGTGAGTAAACTGGTGTTAGGGTTTTGGCTGTTCAGCATTTTGGCTTCATCCATCTATTATTAAAACTGCATAATTTTTTTTGTGGTGGATTTTATTGTTTACATATTTCTTATCATTACAAATTTGTCATTGTGAGGAATATTCATTGTCATTAAATGTAGGAGCAAGATGTCATACAGTTTTTTAGGTAAAGTACCTAAGTATAGACAGGTTTTGTAAAGAAATATGGCTGTCTATGTGTAGACAGATTTTGTAGAGTTTTGGCTGTCTAATCTACCTATCATGAATCTAGAGAACAATGAAATATCTACAGGTATAAAGCACGGATACAATAGGTATTATGCATTATTGTTGAATCCAAAATTCCATGAAAATGCTACCTACTCTTGTGTATGTGTGGGTGTGTACATTGTTTCCATGGACACATTTACATATATTTACACATACGTGCGCTTACTGTTGAATAGCTTACATCATAAATGAAAGAAGTGGGCATTGTTGGAATGATAAAGGTTGCAATTTTGGATTGAACTGAACTTTAAATTCTGTCCATTTTTAGGAATTATATTGTCCCAGTTGTATTTGCTGTTGAAAGTTTCAGGTGTACTTTTTTGGCCGGGATACCTTTTCTAGTAGTACAATACACAGTGTATTCTTTGTATTTGAGATCATAGTGAAGGAAAATATTACCAGTTCTCTTAATGATTAATTAAAAAATGGATACATATTTTCAAGGAAATCATGGATTCAATACATGAATAAAACATCAAATCATACTTATGAATTTAATAATGAAAAAGTAATATTAAGTACTGTACCCCCAAAAATATTATTTAATAAACTAAAAGTTTTTTGGTGTGTTTTTTCATATTATATTCCTAAACAGTAGTATTTTCATTTATTTTGTTACTTGGTATAAAGTAATAGAGTGAGAAATATATATTTAGCATCCATTAAAAATTTTATCTCCATATTTTTTTAAAGCAGGTTTACTTCCAGAAGTTCACAAAAGTACCAGTAGATCAATGTAGACTTTTTCATCCATATTAATGGCAACTAAATGCACCTCTATAAGAGAGGCAGGTCAAAAGTATATGCTTCATCTTTTGGATTACATTTCATTATCTAAAACCTAGGATAAATATGCTATGGCAAACTACTGAGCAGGGACCACATCACCGAACATTGTCAATAGTTCTATATGACCTTTGATGTCTAGCAGATTTGTTAATTTAAAGTGTTAACCATTGTCAAGATCAACTAGAAAACTCCAGTATATAATTGAGTTACAGTAAAAGAATAGAGATTAACATGAAAACCAAGGGATAGTTTCTAATAGAGATAATTGAATCATCCACAAGTGTTCTTAGATCTTATAGCATTTTATTCTTTGGTGAATTATGTTACATTGTTTCATGCTTATTTCATATATATATATATTAACATATTTCATTATACTATATTTGGAAAGTATGAGCTAAGTGTTAAGTGAAACAGGGTTTATTTCTTCAAATTATTGCATTTCCCTTTTCTTAACTTTTTCACAATCTGTTAATTCGATCAAAGTAAGGTATCTCCATAGGTGGGGAGTTTGCTTCCACCCCCTTGTTAAAGCTGGAGACGAAATTTGTCTGGCGGATTAATGAAACGGCAGTGGTGATAGCGTAAATAAAAGAAATCAGACAGACCGTTGAACAACTCTTTACCCTGCTTAAGTCTAAGACGGTTTTGTAAGACATCTTGAACGTCCGTGTTGCCACAAAACTTGTAGATCGAAGCCCCGTCCGTGATATTCTTTCTCTCACGATGTCGA